TTTCTCATTATAAAACAATACACATGTATCATAAAATATTTGGAAAATAGATAAGCAGGAATAAATAAGTACCATGTATTTAGCAAATTAGGATCTTAAAGTAAATACAGTTTTACTTCCTCCTTAGAGGCCACGAGCATTTTTCTGTATTTTCACATATTTTCCAAAGACATGAGTTTTATGATGGAATAATGCTACAAAAGGTGGATCTGCTACCGTTTTTAAACTAGCATTTTTTATATTTTAAGAACTATGTACAGCCATATGTAAAACTGCAGGAAAATTATGAAATGACAATTAGAATTTCAGTAGTCAAAAAAAATAGCTATTTTAAAAGTATGTAAGCACACTTCTCTCCCCATGTATGTACTAGCACAGCTTTTAAAAAATCAACTTCTTTGGGTTATAATTTACAGACTCTAAAACATACACATTTTAAGTGTACAGTTCCATGACTTCAGCATATGTACACATCTGTGGGACAGTCTTCATTCTCAAGATACAAAACATTTCCATTACCCCCCAAAATTTCCCCATGGCCCTCTGCAATCAATCTCTGCTTCCTACCCCTGCCCCCAGACAACCATTGATCTGCTTTCTGTCACTATAGATAAACTATGCTTTCTAGAATTTTATATAAACGACAACATAACACTGTCATTTGTTTGTGTCTGGCTTCTTTGCTCAGCATATTGTGAACAGAGATTTATCTACACTGTTGCATATACTTCAAAGTTTTTTAATTGCTGAGGACTATTTCACTGTATGGATAGAGCACAATTTGTTTATCCATGGGGTATTTCCAGTTTTCCCTTCTTCCTTTTAACTGTGTATCTTATGGACTTTTCCTATCATTTTAAAGTCTGGATCCATAACATGCACAAATCCTGATTTATGTAACTGTTCTACCTCTGTTGGACATGTAAACTCTTTACTGTGTTTTAAAATGACAATGAACACTGTCAAAATTTCTTCATGGGTTCAAATATTAATGGAATCTGATTTGGAAGTAGGATTCTTGGATTACAGTCTTTATCTCTCAACGGTTTAGAAATATTTTCAACCTCTTTAAAATTTCAAGATTGCAAATGAGAAGTTTGATGTCTGATTGTTTTTCTTTTTTAAGAGAGCTTTTATAAGCATATATGAAAATTTATATGATTTGAAATTTATATGTGTTTAGGTCTCTATATACATGTATGTATATATATATATATATATGTGTGTGTGTGTGCATGCATGTGTGTGTGTGTGTGTGTGTATGCATGCTTCTTTTAAAAAAAGTTCTTGAAAGGGAACCTCCTACATTGTTGGTGGGGATGTAAACTGGTGCAGCCACTATGGAGAACAGTGTGGAAGTTCCTTAAAAAACTAAAAATAGACTTACCATATGATCCAGCAGTTCCACTCCTGGACATATATCTGGAAAAGAGACACATGCCCTAATTTGAAAAGATACATGCACCCAATGTTCATACCACCACCATTTACAACAGCCAAGACATGGAAGCAAACTAGGTGTCCATCAACATATGAATGGATAAAGATGTTGTGTGTGTGTATACATACACACACACACACACACACACACACACACTGGATTATTACTCAGCCATAAAAAGAATGAAATAATGTCATTTGCAGCAACCTGTATAGACTTAGAATTGTCACATTAAGTGAAGTAAATCGGACAGAGAAAGACAAATATCATATGATATCACTTATATGTGGTATCTGAAAAAACGATACAAATGAACTTACTTACAAACCAGAGACAGACTCACAGACATAGAAAACAATCTCATGATTACCAGAGAGGAAGAAGAGGGAGAGATAAATTAGAAGTTTGGGATTAATACATACACACTTCTATTTATAAAATAGATAAACAACTAGGATCTACTGTACAGCACAGTGAACTATATACAATATCTTGTAATAACCTATAATGGAAAAGAATCTGAAACATAAATATACGTATAACTGAATCACTTTGCTGTACACCTGAAACCAACACATCATTGTAAATCAATTATATTTCAATAAAAATTTTTTTAAAGTTCTTCTTGGAGCTCATCATTTTAAATCTGAAAATTTAAATATTATAATAGCTTGGAATTAAAAAGAAACCTCTTTGATATTTGCTTCCTCACTTTTTGTTTCTTCTAAAACTGCCTCCAGTCTGCATACTGATCTTGTATTAGATCTTTTTTGTGCCTTGGTGTTTTTTAATATTTTTACCCATGATTTCCATATCTTTGTATTTTCTCTGTTATGAAATATACTGTTTGATTCAACAATCTAAGTTATTAAAGTGATCATTGTGTAATTTTTTGTGATTTTTAAAAATCTCAAATAAAGTTTTAATTTTAATTTCCAGAAACTCTTTTATGCTCTCCAATTTTCTGTTCCTAAGGTTTTTCATCTCATATAAACTTGTGTATACATTGTACATATATATATATATATATATATATATATATATATATATACACATGCTTATTATTTCTTTTATTTTTTCCTTCAAATCCTTTTTTAAAGCTACCACATTTCCTTAAATGGCTTGGTATCTTTCTTTGCCTTTAGATGTCAATTGAGTTGGGTTTCCTAAGCACCTGAGTATATTGCAGTAGTGAACCGGCAGGCAGGCACTGCCTGGTCAATCCGTTGAACAGTATGAGGAGAAGACTCTCTGTTCTCAAAAGTAAGCTGGGAGAGGATACTCTGTCCAATACTGCAGCTTCCCACTGACATCAGTGGAGAAATCAGACCCTCCCAGAGCTGTGTGCAAAAATTGAGCAGGAGTAGTCTCCTTTTCCACCACCAGCTGCCCACCCCAGGGCTCTGTGTCTAGTCTCATCTGCAAAATCAAGCATCTTTCCATTCCAAAAACCCTTCATATCATTCCCTAGCTCTGCAAACACTGACTGATTACACTTTCTTTTAAAGGGCAACAGGAAGCCACCGAGTTTTAAACAGGGGAATGAATGTGATTAAATCTGTAGTTTAAGAAGAAATCATCTAGCTTCAGTCTGGCTAATAAGCCTGGAGGCAGGGAAATTGGTGATAATGGAGACTACAAGAACCTAGATTAGGGCAGAAATAGACGGTAAGATACAAATACATTTGAGTGGGGATTAGGTGTCCAATCAGTGGTACTTGGTGACACATTGGCTATTGGGCCTGTGGGAGAAGGAGACATTGACCAGGCTTCTTGTTGGACCTGGAAGATGGTCATCCCTTCAAAGATGCATAAAACACAGTAGGTAGCTCAGGTTATATTTATTTTGAAGGTGGTGTATCCTCACATCCTCTAATACCCATGTGGCAGAATGTTTATAGAGATAAATTTTTAGAGGAGGGCTGACTAGTGTGTGTGCGTTTGAATTTTGATATATATTGCCACACTGCTCTCCTTAAAATTTGATTTTTGGGGGATTGATGTAGTACATGAAAAATGATGTCTCACTGTCAATTTGACTCTTACTTTTTTAATTTTTTGAGAGTATGAATGAGCATCTTCTAAATGTTTAGGAGACTAGAAGACAGATATCTGCTAATCTCCCTTCTCAATTTTCTGTTGGTTGTTTTCTTTTCCTTATGATTTTTAAAAGCTTTGTATCTAATAAGGCGATCAGGCCTTTATTTCTTCAAAACACTGCTAATATTTTTGTCAGTTAAATTCTTGATTTGTCATTTACAAACATTTTAATTCTTATATAATCATATTGCTCAACTTTTTCTTTTATGGTGTCTGAATTTTTAAATAAAGTTTAGAAAAGCCTTCTCTATTCCATAATTATTTAAATATCATCCTCTAATTCTTTAATCTAATATTTTCATAATTGTATCTTTAATATTTAATTCATAAAGAACTAATACTGATGACAGGAAGTAAGACTTCACACATGCCTACTCATAACCCCAATTCACTGAATAACCCACCATTTCCCACCTTACTTTAAAACAATACTTTTTCTTTTACCATGAATTAATTTCTGCACATATATCTCCATTTTTGGATTCTCTATTTTGATCCATTGACCTATCTTAGTATTAATCAAAACTAACTAATTACAAAGGTAATGTGATGTTATTTATAATATATTTATTATCTGTTGAGGCTTATCCTGTTCATCAATCATAAATATATATATATATATTTATATTTATTTTCTATGTAAACTTTAAAATCAGATTGGCTTGAAAAAAATCATGTTGGTATTTTTTATTAGGTTCAGTTTAATTCCCAGATTTATAGATTAATTTAGAGAAACTTACCTTCATGATGTTGAATTTCTTTTAGTCAAGATTAATCTCTATTCACTTATTCATGTCTTTTTTTTCCTTCATGCATAAAACTGGGGACTTCCTAACTGAAAGAAAACTACTGACTTTTCAGTCACTCAACTCTAGTTAAGAGCTTTATAGCTGATTCTCTGATTTTCCTCATATACAAGCATACTATTTGCAAATGATAATTTTGCTTCCAATTTTTATAAATTGTCTTTCTCTTGTCTAATTGCATAGGCCAGTAACTTCAGAACAGTGTCCAATAATAGTGATGATAACGTGCATTCTTGTTTTGTTTTGTTTTGTTTTCCCTGACTTTACTGGACATGCTTTATTTAGCATTTAAAACTGACAAATATTTTATGAGCTTTCAGCAGAGACACCATACACTGTTTCTGTACTTTCCAATTGTCCTGAGTTTTCTGCATTGGCTTTCTTTGTCTAACACCTTAAAGCCTGAAAATTCCCTCCACTTGTGTAAAGATAAAAACCAAAGTTCTTCACCTGCTTGTTTCAAAAGGAAAAACTGGAGTGGAGGGCAGGCGGGGCGATAAAGGAGCTTGCTGAACTCCATAGCAATAGCTAAAGCAAAAAGGCTAGAAAAAGTTCCTTCGGGAAGAGGACCAAGCCCAGAGAGTCACTCTATAGAAGGAAGAACTGGAGCGTGGGGAGGAGTCGGGGCCACCCCCGCCCCCAGCCTCGCGTAGGTGCCACCCGCAGAGATGAAATGTGAGCCCCCGTGGCCGAGGACACGAGGACGCTGGATCCGCCGCCTTGCCCGCCGCCCAGCGCCGCGGGGAGAGACAAAGAGACCTCGGCCCCAGCGCAGCTCCGCGCGGCGCCCGGGCTCCCCTCGAAGCCTCCCAGGGCAATGGCCAGGGCTCCGCGCGACCCCGCTCCCCAGAGCGCTGCCCTCTCGGTCTGACCGCCCTCCCGCGCCCCCATCCCCTCCCGGTCCGGGCTCACCCGCGGCTCCCAGCCCTCTATACACACCGGTTTGTC